TAATATAATATAATATAATATAATATAATATAATATAATATAATATAATATAATATAATATAATATAATATAATATACAATTTTAATTCAGACAAAAAATATATTATTTAGTCTTGTTAAATTATATACTAATATTTTTATCTTAATTAAATTATAAAATATCAAGTTTCAAATTAAAATATATAAATACATTATTTTCAAATATACTATCATTAGATTTATCTAGTTTTGGTAAATTCAATAATACTTTTTACAAAAATGATCTGATAATTCATAAAATATTATGTTTCAAATTGCTGATTTTTTGAAAAAAATTATTTTAATTTTGAATATTTAATTTGAAGTATGATATTTCATAATCCACCAGACCAAATTTCATCATTATTTCACAAATCTCAATAAATGTGTGACTTTATTTTTATTCAATTTGATTAAGTCATGAAATATTAATCCATTTTTTAAAAATGAAAAAAATAAATATTCGACTCATTTAGTCTTGGCGAATCAAATAGTGTATTCTTTGTCTGGATTGGATCAGTAAATCAGGAGATTTTTTTTTAGCTTAATAATATGGTGATTATCACCATATTTTTATCTTTTCAAAATATTTTATAAAATCAAAAAATCTATCATTTAGTAAAATTTAATAGTTTACATATTTAAACAAAAATATTATAAACAGAGCAAATGAAAAACTCCAACCTAAAAATAATATTATTGAATGTTCCAATTTTTTAATTCAAAGTTCAAAAAAGCCAATCACCAATGATATCACGAAACATGAGAAATACGTATAATGAAATTAGACGTTCAATATATTGGTAATACATAACTTCCACGTGTTCGACAAGAATTTGTTTTCTTTATTCTCTTTATTCTCAGCCTTCTCCTCATTTAGTAATCTTTTTAGCAACTAGAGAGCCTAAATATGTTATTGTTGGTGATGACCCAGTCTTTTTACACTTTTTCGCACTCTAACTTGCTTCTCGTCACTATTATTCTAACTTGTACCATTTAAGCTAGACTTGTGACTCCGTTGTTATTGGGGAGAGTAGGCTGCTGCACGTCGGGAGACACGAGGCTGGGTTATTCCCAGTTAAAGAATTACAGTAAGAATTATTGTTGTTGTAATAATGATAATGACGTAGAAACAATTCTATTAACGATATGATGTATTTTGGTGTCTAAAAATAGTAAATATAGAATAGATCACGTTATGTTAAAAATACAAATATGGTCAATTAATTATGATTACGACATAGAAATTCATTTCGGCCTATAAGTTAAGGGTTTCAACTGGTGGAAAGTAGAAATTCTGAATCATGAGATGAGTGCAGAAATTTAATATAGCGATGATGGTACATGTTGTAATGGTAACAGTGATAGGAGAACAAGGAGGGGAATGGAGGCTGCAGTGCATACCGATACATACACGTTTGGAGTGTCTGTGAGAATTAGAGTCAATATTATGAAAGAGTCAAATGTATAGCGAGCTTTTATTGTTCCATGCGTGCGAAAATAAATGGTTACCCAAAACTTTTAAAAATGAATGAATCACAAATGAAAAATAAAATAATAAATAATGTAATTTATTGTTTGCATGTTTGTGCGTGAATCAAACTTATAACAATATAATAAATAATAATATAATATAATGTAATATAATATAATATGTCTTTTCCCCTCCGTTTTTATATATAAACCCTTCATGAAAAAAAATGACATTGTTATTACTATTTCCTCAAATCAAACCAACATTCTTGACATTATCATAATAAAACCTGAAATTCAACCACTCTACCATCACCGAAATTACTATCACCACCAAACCAAATCTAATCTCAAAAATCAAACATGTCGAAACAATTATTTGCCAATCGTACCGAAGAAATACTCTCACGCGACGCGTACCTAGCCGCCTACAAAGCCAAAGACGGGCTTGCATTTGCACAATATCGCGAACACGTTCTATCCGCGTTACTCTCACCCTACGAGAACCGACTCTTTCCCACGCAACTTGACGCGTTACGTAAACGCTTTGAAGTTTCATTGCAGGAATTGGTGAGCGCCACCCCGGAGAACGTCGATGTGTTGTTGGTTAAACCATCCGAAAAGATCACCTCGTTAAGAAGTGGAGATGATAATGGTCATTTGTCGTTGGAAGAGCAACGCAGATTGGTGCAGCGTGCACATTTTGAAAATGTTTTTGAGAGAGTGAGAGAGAATGTGCAGTTGGCTGTGGAGACTCAACAACGGTTTAAGAGACCCGTAAATGCTGCTAATTTGTAACCTTACCGTTTTCGGCTATTATTTAGATAGACGCGCGTTTTTTTATTATAGATTGATTGATGGTTTTTTCATTTACTATTTCTTTCTCATTTTTAATTAATTTTGTAAATAATAAAGTAATTAACTCATAATAATATTGTTATCGTTATACATGTACTCCCAAACTGACTAGTGCATGTATTAAAAAAGTTAATTCCGATAATTTGGCTTGTGTGAAATGTTAACTTAATTTCTGATGTAAAATTACATATTTGATAAAATCCTATTGAATCTGTGAGAAAAAGGAAATGCGATTTCACCGCGACCAAAGAGACTGGTGGAAGGATATAAAGAATAATTTTTTTGAAAACGAACTGTCAATTACAGTCGTCAAAACCAAAACGTTTTTCGCTAGCATTCATCAATTCATCAAAATTGCATTTGATAGATTGTTGATGATGACGTTTAAATAAACGTCATGTTTGGTTATTCGACACACCACACAAAAAAATTTTCGAACACTAACACTAATAAATTTTTCTTTGATCATCACATGATTTTTAGTAGATTATATGTGACAATAACCAAATGTGTATAATGAAACAAATCCATCTATTGCACACATTATTTGATCTTGCCTAAAAATCATGAGAATTTTTTCTCGTAATACCAAAAACTAATCATCATCATATCACACTCTTTGTCGTACACACAAATCTACACATCGGTTCATTAGAAAATCATTCAACGACCAACGAACACTATATATTCTCCTCGAAGTGCTCTCTTTAATTTTGTCAAAGAATTGAATTCTGAGACTCAAAAGACGTTGATATCCGCGAAATACCTTTTTGTTGCTTGATTGTACATACTTCAAAAAAATTCATACTTGTTTATCGTACGAATCTTATTAAAAAAGATCTAATTGTTGCCAGAAATATTCACAACTTGTACATAATAATAAAAAAATTTGATACGGCTGACAAAAATAACTCAATCGAGACCTCCTACTGCTGCTACTACAATAATCAACAAACATGGCTCTACCTGAGAAAGACGGAGCCAGCGGGCTGGCCCCATTTAATAGTCTCAGAACACTGCCTCGGCTTCAAATTATTGACGAAAACCAGGCTTTTACGTAAGCAAATTTTTTACTTGATGGATTATGATTAGTAAGAAATAAAAAAACCAATCAATTGATCCCTTGATTTAATAAAATTATTTTATTACCTAGGAACGAGTTGCCCAATTATATGAAAGACGAATGGAAGCTCGCCGACTCTGGCTTCAATTATAATTTGGTAGCGGTTTTTGGGTCACAGAGTACAGGGAAAAGTGAGTTCGAACGACGATCCGTGTTTATAATACAGCGATAGGTTGATTTTATTTTATTGATCTATTTTTTTAATAGGTACCTTGCTTAATCGCTTATTTGGAACAAATTTCGACGTGATGAGTGAAGCAGCGCGTAGGCAAACGACGAAAGGTAGAGAAATTCATTAGTTATAAACAAGTAAATTTTTTTAATGATAGCTCGGTTAATTTATAAAACTCCGATCTTTTTAGGTATATGGATGAGTCGTGGAAAAGATATGAATGTACTTATAATGGATGTCGAAGGGACCGATGGAAGAGAAAGAGGAGAAGATCAGGTAGCATATTTATCAAATTTACTTTCCTCTATTTTTGAATTCGCTTATTATTGACGTTTTTTTTTATTAATCTATTGGTTGTAATTAAAATTCATAACATGATAAATTTATAATTAAAGGATTTCGAACGTAAAAGTGCTCTATTCTCGATGGCCACCTCCAATGTCATTATTGTCAATTTATGGGAGCATCAAGTTGGTCTATACAATGGCGCAAATATGGGTCTTCTCAAAACTGTGTTTGAGGTGAATTTGCAACTGTTTCAAGCGGCTCGAGGGTATTTATGTTTTATTATTTTCTTTTCGCATATTTGTATGCGATAAATTACTTGCTTGAATTGGAATTAGATAACAATTTAAGAATGGGACTTACCTACCGATTGTTATCATCAATCCATTTTCTTTCATAAATAGCAAAGAAAAGAGATTGTTATCATTAATTCATTAATCTATTTTCTTTCACAAATAGCAAAGAAAAGAGATTGTTATCATTAATTCATTAATCTATTTTCTTTCATAAATAGCAAAGAAAAGACATTGCTTTTATTTGTGATTAGAGATCACGTTGGACAGACACCACTTTCCGATTTATCTAACACCTTAACAGCAGATTTGGGAAGGATCTGGCAAAGTGTTTCCAAGGTCATTTTACGATTTTTTGTACTGCTAATCATTTATGATTTTTATAATTATAATTATTATTATTTTTTTATAGCCAGAAGGTTTGGAAAATTGTAAGATAGACGATTACTTTGATTTCATGTTCACAGCGTTACCTCACAAAGTACTGCTACCTGATAAATTTGAGCAAGAAGTGGTTAAACTTCGTGATAGGTTCTTTTTGTTTTCTTCTATGAAAGTCTATTACCCCTTTCTTTAGGTATCATCAATTAATTTTTGATTGTTTTCTTATGATCTTTATTCACTGATGACGACAGATTTGTGAATCAAAACAATAAGGATTACGTGTTCAACCCAAATTACAGTAAACGTGTTCCAGCTGACGGGTTTCATGTTTACGCTGAAGGAATTTGGGTACTTCTGAATTTTTATAGCATACAAAAATTGCTTGCTATTCTAATAATATATTTACCTTTTTATTTCTCACCACCCCGCATTTACTTGTTTGGTAATGCTGTAATTATTCAGGATCAAATTATGTCAAATAAAGACTTGGACTTGCCGACACAGCAAGAACTGCTCGCTCAATATCGTTGTGATGAAATTGCAACGGTGAGTTGCTTTACCATTCTTTGAAACTTAAAAAATCAAAAATCAAAATGTGAAATGTCTAATATGTTAAAATATAAAATTCATTCAGGTAGCCTTTGACGCCTTCATGCAAAAAATCAAAGGATACAGACAGCCAATCGAAGCTGGCAAAGTACTTGAAGATTTAGGTCCACAGATGGAGGAAATTCGAAATGCTACGATAAGTGAGTAGTACGAATGACGATTGCTAGCATAATTAATTTTATTATTATCATCATCATTTTTTACATGTCTGATTCAAAATCCCAAATATTTATTTGATTCAATCAGAACAATTCGATAAAGATGCCTCTCGTTACCACGCCGAAGTATACAAACGGAAACGAACCGAAATACTCAACAAGACCAATTCTCAATTACACGGTTTCTACCTTGGGCAACTAAAGAATCTTACCAAAAGGGCTATTACCATTTTCAAATCTAAAGTCCAAGTACGTAATCTTACATAACCTATAAAGGTTCTTCTTTTTTACGCTGTACATCTTAAGCATGTGTGCTTATAATAATAGGAAGATTTGAAGCGAGAAGATTATGATTTTGCTCTAGTTGTGGAAAGCGCTCGTAACGAGGCTGAAGGGATATTCCTCAAAGGCGCTAAAGGTTTATTCTTGTTCAATCCTTATCGATAAAATTTATGGCTGCTATTGTTCTAATAGTTTTATCATTTTAGCTATTGTTCTATCTGAAACTGATTGGAGCTTTGAGGAAGAACAACTACAGCTTTCCGAAGAGATAAATGAAATTGCTTCGAAATCACGCACAGAGGAAACGAAAAAGATGATCAAAGCATTGGAGGTATGAAATAATATAAATAATTATAAATTTCTTGAACAATATCGTTCTCATATGAATACCTTTACTCTTTAAGAAATCATTCCAAAGTCAACTTAATGAGCATCTTGGACTATACCTAAATAAACCTGGTCCCGAGATGTGGGTGAAAGTCATCACCAAATTCAAGGATATGCTTGACAATACCGAACATAAATTATTGAAGCGTGCTAAAAGTAAGAGCTTTGGAAAATATTCACAATAATGATGAAAACTACGGCTACTTTTTATTTTGTTCTTTATCGACTTTTCAAATGATTGTTTGTTTTTGCTTCTAGGCTTCAATTCCTCCGAAGAAGAAAACCAAACATCCGTGGATAATTTACGGAAACGTTCTTGGCAGCTCTTGAGGAAAAAGATCGATGAAGAAGTGGCTGATAACATGTTTTTACTTAAATTACGTGAACAGTATGTTTTCTTCTTTATTTGTTTGTTTGTTTGGTCATTTACGTTTGTAAATGTAAACTTGAATTGTTTTGTTAATAATTAGATTTGAAGAGAAATTTCGTTATGACGACGAGGGTATCCCCAAAGTATGGAAACCAGAAGACGATATCGATGCTCATTTCAGGAAGGCGAGAGAAGATGCAAGTTTTCTTATTTACCTTATTTTATCTGCGCAATAAATTCTGGTCTTTAAATGGAAAAATTCCTAGCTCACCATGTAAATATATACATGAAATATTCAGGCGCTTAATCTGATCCCGTTATTTGCTCAAATCCAAATTCCTGGAGATGTCAAGCTAGATATTCCTTCAGATAATGTACGAGGGGCATTCTTTACGTTTGTGGATTTCCTGTTTACATGTTCATGATTTTTAATGAAATTCTTTTGTTCACAGGAACTTGACTTCGACGAATCATTAATAATCCTTTCGGAAACACGACAACATGATTTGACTGTTCGTTTCAAACGCGAATCAGATGCCTTCTACTTAGAAGCAAAACGATCTGTCGTATCAACAACCGCGCATATACCATATTACGTATATCTCCTAATTGGTAAGTTTTTGCATCGCTCACCATATCGTCTGTACGTAACTATTATTATAAAACAATTATGTATTTTTTCAACTATTAGTTGCTCTCGGATGGAACGAATTCCTATCAATCATAACATCACCCATTTATTTGGTGGCCTTTTGTTTCTTTGGATTTATCGGCTACGTGATTTGGCTTCTAAATTTAACTGGACCTGTAGAAAATTTTGCGCGTATGGTTGGCACAGAAGTGGTAAAGGTTGGACGAAACAAAATAGTCGACGGGCTGGAATCACGAGGGTATACAGGAGTAGCGGATAAAGTGGGTTCAGTTTTAGGTGAACCGCCGAATAGATTGAAGGAAAAGGAAAAGGATCAGTAGTGATTACAATCGATCAAACAACGAGGATAATAGAAATTGAACTCTGTCAATAATTTTTTTCCGTTTTTTTTTTCATGGTGGCTGTTTTGTCCAAATCTGTATTTGTGAGTCTAGAACTGGTGGTGATGTAGTGGTTAATTGTTTTTCTTCTATTCCTCTCTTATATATAAAAATTTCATCTTTCATTTTTGTTAATTTATTATTATTAATCTATTTTCTATATTTTTAAAAAAAATAAACATACACATGACACGCTTCCACAGTGATATTCTTTTTTCCACGATCGGTATTAGATACATTATGATTGCTTATTAGCATCAGATATTATTGTCGAAGAATCGAGTCCTTATAATCAAATGAAGTTTAATAACTTGAAAAAATACCGATTCCATTTCTGATCATCCTTATGAGTAGCAGGTAAACATACCACAACCTAACCAATCTTTTAATTATCTAAAAGTCTCATGATAAAAATTACAAAAAATTTTGTCGCGAAAACAAATTTGGTTATTGCCTTATATAGCCTTTGCTGGTAAGATAAAGGTGTAGGCAAATCTTGAATTAAAAATATTCAGCCGAAAAAGTAATTTCCCCTGCCTAGCACTTTTTACTGTTAAAGCTAGATGAATATTTATTTAGAAAATAAAATATGCGTCGTACTAACAAAATCTGTAAATTGGCCATATAAATTACTATCAAGAACATCTAGTATATCCCTCTCGAAATTGAAATAAAAATGCTTTACTTGTTTTTAAAAAATGGAATTGGTAAGGAAGCAAGAGAAACTATATTAATTAAATTCCCGTAAATAAACCAATAACAAATAAACGATTCACCATTTCAAAGGCAAATCCTTTTTCTCAGATTTGATGGCCTCGGTACTTACACCAACCGCATCCAATATCCCCTGCTTATATTTCCGCAAAGGCCCGGCAACAATAACAAGCACAAACACTAAGACCGCGATAATATACCAATTAACCAATGAAGTGAAAAAGGAGCTGGCTGAATCGCGAATCATGTTTGTGAATTCATGGTTTTGTTGATTTCCGGTCGATGGTGATGAAGTGTCGTCAGTTTGGTCTTGTGCAAGTGGATCCGAATCAGACGTGTAATTGTCTTCAGCCTGTTGTAAACGGAATATGAATTATGAAAAAATAGAGAAAGAGAAAAAAAGAATGAAAGGTGATATGTGCAATAGGCTACAGCTTTTTTCAAAATGAATTGGATTTCGAGAAAAAAATGATTCTCCTTTTTATCCCTCCTTCCCCATAAAAGCACTCAAAAAATAAATATAAATTTTACTGATTGATTTTTTGATAAAACATTTTTTTTATTCTATTACAGTTCAATTCTCACAGATTGTTCAGGCTCTGGGGTGGCACTAATCGATTCGGTTTTTTCAACTGAAACTGATGCTGTAGTGGCAGCAGCAGGAGTAGTTGCACTTTCACTATCAGCAGGAGTCGCAGTTTCTTCTACTTTGGCTGCGGCAGAAGCAACAGTAGTTGTACTTTCACTATCAGCAGGAGTTGTAGTTTCTTCTACTTTGGCCGCAGCAGAAGCAGTAGTAGCAGTACTAGAGCTATCACTAGAAGTAGTAGTAGTAGTTCCGGTACTTTCCTCGAGTGGAAGTTCACCACTATCCGCGATCACCACATCATCGATCGGACGATCGCCTGAATCAGTTTTGACATTTTCAATTTTGGTTACGATGTCCATGCCTTCGAGAACTCGACCGAACACTACGTGGCGACCGTCAAGCCAACTTGTTTTTACGGTGCAAATGAAGAACTGAGTTGATGATATTCGATTGAATAACGGATGAAATAAAAGGATATTAAGCATAACGATGAGGACCAGGATAATTATATAAATTTGTTATAAGATATTCACTTGTGATCCATTAGTATCAGATCCAGCGTTAGCCATACTCAAAGTACCAGGCCCAGTATGTCGAAGTTTGAAATTCTCATCGGCAAATCTTTCGCCATAGATCGATACACCTCCGGTGCCATCACCATTGGTGAAATCACCTCCTTGGATCATAAAATTCTTGTGTATAGGAACAATTATGTAAAAGTCAATACCAAATCAAGAATATAGATTTTGATTCAGTTTTCATATTTATTAATTTATTATATTACTGCAATTTTTGTTCATCCAACCTTGATAACACGATGAAACGTCGATCCTTTATATCCGAGCCCTTCTTTTTCACCGGTTGTCAACACCCTAAAGTTCTCGGCAGTTTTAGGAACAGTCTTTTTATTCGACGGGTATAAAAATTGATTCATATAAAGTATTATTAGTATTAGTATGAGGAAAAAGAATCCAGGAACAGGAGGCAATGATACCTTTCCGTATAATCCAATTATTATACGTCCGAGATCTTCATCTCCATGTTTAATATCGAAATAAACTTGTAGGAATCAGAAGATATTTGAATCAGTATATGACTTCTATGACATGTAGCATAACTATAGAAATCCCGATCTACCAAACTTCCAAAGTTCAAATACCTTTACTCGTAATAGCCGGTCCCTTACCGGCCTTAACACCACTCTCGTAAAGTAACGCGTTCACAATAAGAAATACAAGCAACGCAGCTGCTCGCCTTAGAGCGCCACTCACAATTTTGCTACGCCGACGTGAGGAACCCATTTACTATTATTCTGCGAGTATCGTAAAAAATTTCAAACAGCTAAACTAGCGGAGAAAGGTAACAAGATAACGATAACACAAACGACAAATTTTAGTTAGGTGTCAAACATTAGTATCGCTATGCATTTATTCCTAATGGAAAGTTACACATGTTCAACAATAAATATTTGCGTGTAATTAATGCGCGTCTTAAAAGAAGCAATTGTTGTATTTATTGATAATGATAACGATAAGTCTTCTGCTAAAATGTTCGTACTACCGAATTATTATTGTTATTATAAAAAATGTTGCAATTAACCAAAATTCTGACTCAACTTTTTGAATACATTTGTTGAAGCACCAAATATATTCATTCTCCCATTTCTCAATTCAAAGTGAGAAAATATACATATCACTAAAGAAGATGACAACAATCATCATCATCACACCATACGCAATTAATCATCCATCAAATTCATAATACACTCGAACTTAAGAGGCTCGTTAAACTGAGCCTGATTTATGTGCTTTTAAGAGTGTTGTCATTGCATAGTCGAGGTCTGACTGTATTCTTTCACTAACTTATTATGCAACAGTGTCCACGCACGATCAGACAATTCATTCGAGACTCCTCTCGCTCTTTGATAAGAAATGCATTGACGAAGACGATTAAGATCGTAAATCGGATTATTTTCTTCGTCTGTTTCTTGTACCATGTTTCGTAGTCTTCGTTCAAGTTCTGTTCTACGCAACGTCAATCGATGATTTTTTTCCGCGGATCGAGCCTTGCGTTCATTTTGTACTGCCATTTCACGAGCATCTACATCTTGCATGTACGCAGTTATATGTTGCATTTTTTCTCGCATCCACTCGTGTTGCTGATTTCGAGAAAGAGCCTTGAACTCTTCGCTGGCCCTTTCTACATCTTCAAGCCAGTAAAATTTACAATTGAACGAGCGGCGACTACTTCTACTCCACAAGGTTGTTTGAAAATACGGAAGTCCATGTAGAAACTTGGGACTTCTAAACCTTGGATCCTCATGCACCCGGTATTCAGAAACGGTCTTTGCTTCGTAGCATTTACGACAGATACGCACACGAAAAGCCCAATAAACTTTGTGAACTTGTTTGGCACCACAGAGCTGGCACCCTCGCTCTAGAACTAGACGCACATATGCGATTTCATCCATCCCTTCTGGAGGAGGTAATCGAAGGGAACGAACGAACTCCAATCTGGAGTTTGTCCAGATTTGCTGTGTGGTGATTGATTCTTTGGAGGATAACCACCCATAGTATAATTTGCAGGTTCTCGCCAGTTTCAATAAAGCAAACGGGGGCAAGTATCTGCAGATTTGAATGAATAGTTCTGGTGGAATTGAGGTTGCAATACATTCGTTATTTGTTGGTGAAGTTTCTTCAGTATCGATAATGATGGTGGTGTCATGATTTTCAATGTTTGGTTTTTGTTCGTCCATCGATTCGTTGAGACTTGTAGCTGATGATTCTTCCTTGATCATCGAATCCACTTTAATCTTTCTCTTCTTAGTATCTCTTTTTCTATTCGATTTTTTTCTCTTTAATTTAAAGCATAAATACGCATAAAATAACCCATAATAAAGAAAGAGATAATATCCTCTATAAACATTCTTCTCCTACCTTATTAGTAGACGGATCAACCGAGTCTGATTCCTTTTGCTCCTCTTTTACATCAACAGTAGCAGATGATGACGTGTTTTTCACTTTTTGAGGTTCACCAGCAACAACGATACTTTTCTTACTAAGCTTCGACTTTTGCCGAGCTGCTCTCGGTTTGTTTCTTTGATTTGCGATGGCCATACTGACTGCTGTGCGCGCGCGAGTTGAGGCTCTTGTTATGCTCATGTTTTATTTAGTTCTATGTTTTATTTAGTTCTATGTTTATTCTTAAAATTCTCTCGCCACTTTCGAGGCTAGTTATTTTGCTCGGGTAAGTTATCGCCCGAGAACTCTGCCAAAAAGGAAAAAAATTATTTGTTTCCTTTCGTCTACTTTAATCGTTAATGAAAAATTATAACAAGTGCGTCAGGCAGCACCAAGTAAACAAAACCATAACGCCTTACAGTATATTATCCAAACACCTTTAGTCGTTTATAGGGATCACTAAAGCAAGGTAGTATATAATCCGATCCGGATTTCAATCATGTGACTAAAATCGAATAACCAATAAAAATACCATCAGTGACAAATATGCTTTAACTTTTTTTTAAACATATATAATGACTGATAAAAGTATGTAATTATTAATAATAATTTTTGAGTATTTTACTATGTAAAGTTAATTTTTTATTAATATAACAATTTTCTATATGATAATTAAACTTGTTTATAATATTAAATTCTGTAAGATAATAAAAAAGTTGTATTTTAAATTATAAAAATAATTTTTTGTAAATTATTAATAAAAAATTAGTCTATAATATTAAGTTTTAACATAATTTTAATAATAAAATATTATTTTTCAGGTTTTATTTAGTTATTTTCAAGATTTGAATATTAATTCATAAATTATATAATTTTTTTTTGAATTTATACAAATAATAAATTTATATAATAAATTGCTAATAAAAATATAATTTTTTCATTAAAAATATATTTTAATTCTTAAATATAATTAAATATTGTTTATATATTGTTATCATTTTGATTAACTTTTGAAATACTCAAAGATATTTATAAAGATTAAAGAAATATTTAAAGAAAACTTTCAATATCTTAATGATAATTCAAAGTATTAATAATACTTTATAACTATTAGACTAAATATAAATAAATATTAAAAATATTAATAATAGAATTACTTAAAGATTGATAACAGTTATTTTTTTTAAATACAATAATCTGAACTACTAAAAAGAATTCTCAAAATCTCAAAATCAAAGTTTTAGAGATTATAATATTCATATTATTAGCAATACAAGATTAAAAATAAATAATGTATTATTAGCAATACAATATTAAAGATGAATTTATAAGTAATGTATTATAAGTAATATAATCTCAAAGATAAATTTATAAATTATAATAATAATTTTTTTTATTCATATAATATTCATTAAGTTTTATTACAAACATGTTTAAATAACTTAGTATTAAGATAATAACTTTTATAATACTTCTGGTAATCTTGTTTAAGCTACTATAATATTGATTCAAGATTTATATAATATTTATAGTAACAATATTAAAGTAATTATACAAGAAACAAAAATACTTTGTTAAAAAAATATAGAAAGGAGTTTGCACTATCACGATCAGGCTCCTGGTAGGTATAATCGTGATGTAGGTGTTCAACCAACATCTGATAATGGTGTTACAATCAGGCTCTTGATAGGTATAATCATGCCGTATGTGTTCAACCAACGTCTGATGACGGTATTTTTATAGTTACTCAATCTCGTTGTAATTAGTATACTTCAGGATCATTATGCAGTGCATTTTCTTCTATCTTATAGATAAACTCTCACTATTACTAATAGATGTTATGTTTACTTAGTATGGGACAGTCTTATAGCAATACAGTATTGATATTCTATAGCAACTTTGGTGGTTGTCCAATAGTGCGCAATAAATGCAAGTATTTTAATAAGTT